AACTAGTGGATAATATATAGGGTCATCTTTCCATAGCCAAAACAGATCTGCAAACCAAAAGGTAAGAGTTGGAGTGACTGTTCTATTATGTCAAAAAACACACTGAAGGAATTTCTGCTGTCTTTTTAACCGTGGGTTCAGTATGTTTGGCCAGTAGAAAAATGCATCCACCAGGCACATAGTCATGGTTCTATTACACTGGAAGCTGAGACTGTCCCATGACCACTTTGGGTTCCTCATGCCACTAAACCATCAGGCAGAGAAAGAGGTCACTATACTGATTGGAATGGCTAATCCCAATTATCAAACAGAAACTCAGGTTCTGCTATACAGAACGGACAACAATTGTATCTGCAGTCCAGGGGGATTCACAGGATGCCTCTTAAGGCTCACTTGACCAACAGTCCTAATCAATGGAAAAGTGCAACAACCTGATAAAGGACAAGAAAGGACGCAGATCCTACAGGAATGAAAGTCTAGCTCAGACCCAAGAGAAACATCAGCAGAAGAAAAAGGAAAAATGGAATGGGCGGAAGAATAAGGAAGCTGTGTTTATCAACTCTGGCCTTGATACCAGCTGAAGAAAGCAGGGGCTGTAGCAATTAAGTTTCACATTCTCTTACCCAATTTTCTTGCCACTATTTTGGATGAAAGATAGTGGTGGTAGCTAATACTTCAGGTGGGAGTACAGCTGAGCTGCCATATCCTCACATGAGCTCATGAGGTGAGGGACTGGCAAGCTTCCTAAAGGGTCAGGCAGTAAATAGGCTTTGTGGGCCTCACAGCCTCTGTCACAGGTACTCAACTCTGCCACTGTAGCTCCAAAACACTTTAGACAATACATAAATAAGTGGGTGTGGCTGTACTGCAATAAAACTTGTTACAAAAATAGGCAGTCAGCCCTTGCCAACCTCTGCAATAGTAGGTAAAACTTCATTCAGTTCCCTGTGTAGCTTCTCATCTCCTCAAAAAACAAGAAAGAATGGTTTGGGGGCAAATGGGTAGACTATTCTAGATATTCTCCTTTTGCCCCTCCTAATCCACTCTCCATTCTATACCCCAGGAGTTATATTAACTGGCCACTCGTCCTGTAGCTTCCGGCTGGGGTGGTCAAATGGGAAGCATGAGGAGAAAATTGGAAGAGCAGAAGGAAAAGTGGGCTCATTACATCTATCCTTCCAGGTTCCTTGCTGCCCAGCTGAGGGAGGCAGTAGCTTCATTTTTCCACCAAAGTCCACACCTCCTATAAGGTGACTCTTTCCCACAGCTACTATAGTCTATTATACCCTAGTAACCACTTCCTTTATTCTTTCAGGTTTAGAAATGTTAATTGTTCCTTGTTGCCAACCTAGCGTGCCCCACTATCTCTTGGTTTCTCTTAAAGCTGTTTGTTCTAAATAGTCCTTTTACAACTTTCCCTCAATTAACCTGTATGAATATGCTGCTTATTTACTTCTAGGACCCTAATCCATTCACCATCCAACCAATTTTTCCAGTGGGAAACCCCCAAATCATTCACAACTTCTTCCTAACATTCTTAGTAAGAGTCATCTCAATTCCTTCCCATCTATTATTTCGGCAGGTGCAGAGGAGGTGGAGAGGGGGAACAACAGACAGAAAGGAGCTGCAGGTAACTCTTAGGTCATCCTTGATTAAAAAACGGCTCCATCACTTTCTAACTTTATGCCCTGAAGAAAGTTACTCTCCAGTCTTTCAGCTGCTTTAATTTTAAAAATTAGGATTAAAATATGTCTACTTCATGGGGTTTTTGTGATCAAGTGAGGTCACACACATAAAACCTTAGAAAAGTCTCATACATAGAATGTACTCAATAAACATTCACTATAATTCAATCACGTCAACTCTATTTCTATACCACTTTCATTGTTGTTATTTTCTTTCAGGGCTTCATCATTTCTCCACAAGATTATTACAGTAACTTCTTAACTAAACTCCCTAATTCTCATATCTTCCCTACCTAATTACTACAACACAACACACCTAAAGTATCCTTCCATGAAGGACAAGGTAAATAAAGCTGACCCTTGAACAACACAGGTGTGAACTGCACAGGCCCACTTATATGTGGATTTTTTCCTAATACAGGGCAGTAATGTAAATGTATTTTTTCTTCCTTATGATTTTCTTAATAACACGTTCTTTCCCTACCTTCATTACAAGAATACAGTATATAATAAACACACAAAATATGCGTTAATCGACTGTTCATGTTACTGGTAACACTTCTGGTCAACAGTGGGCTCTTAGCAATTAAGTTTTTGGCAAGTCAAAAGTTATACCCATATTTTTGACTGTGCAGGGAGTCGGGGCCCCTAACCCCTACATTGTTCAAGGGCCAGCCGTAACCACAGGCAGGGGATATCGATAGAGAAATTCCTTAAATAAGGAGATAGGACTTAGTGAACTTTTAAGGATTCTAAGATTCCTATAATAGGTTACTTTTTTATTTAACTGTACAGCTCATCTTGAGTAAACATACACATACAGGGGTAACATTTCCAGAGGGAAGTTCAAGCCATTACCCCCCCCACAAAAAACAAAAAACAAAGATAGCTCACTAAGATTTGTCTCTTTAATACAGGTCCCCCCAAATTAAGTACTTAGGCAGCCAAGGACTGCCCCAGAATGGATTATATATGCAATCTATACACCTCAAAGGAAAGGGGTGGTGTTTATAAGATTTTAAACACCTTACTTAAACCTTTACAAAGCAGTGCTCCTGAATCAGGTCAGCCAAGAATCAGAAAACAAAACTGGCCTCTTAGCAGCCACGTTGAGTCAGTGAGAGTACTAACCTTAACTTTTTTCAGAGAAGAAATTTCACTATGGGCTTATTCTTGTTTCATGCACAATTCTAAAATGCTTGGTAATACAGACTTTCATATTCCACAACAGATTAAACAGAATAAAATGTTAATCCAGAAACAAAAAAAAAAAGAGAGAGAGAGAGAGAGAAGGGAGACTTGAGGCAGTCAGTAGAGCAGCAAGGCTATGTACCTTGGAGTCACACAGATCTGAATTCTAAATCTTACCTATTCTTGAAACATAGTCATTTGGAAGGGAAATTTTCTAAATATTGTAAAGGGTGTTTGAACTTGCTACCACTTATAATTGTTGAGAATATACTTACCACAACAGATTTTCTCTGGAAGTTTATGTTGTTGATGCAGACGACCTGATGGGTTGTATATTAAAAAAGAAAAAGAAAATACTCCTATTATTAAATAAAAGCATAATTCTATCGAAGTGTAAATAAGAAGTTCTAAGCAGCTCACAATCATACTTTTTTATTTTACAATCCTACTAGGGTAGGATGCATGTTTAAGGATGCATGTCTAAGGTAACTGCATGTTTTAAATTTAGTAACAGCCACGAAAATAGATTTCTTTGTATAAAAATACGGCTAGGTACTTTAAGAGAAACACTTATTCACCTGCAAGGGGCATTAAATCTGTTGAACAATACTGCCATTCAAAACCATACATACTGTCCTACAAACGGCATTTCCATCACGGTGAGTGGGCTCTAGTTTCCCACTACATTTCCCAGGCTCACCAAGGCAGTTTCAAGCAATCACAAAATATAATTAATAAAAACAAAAGCTAAGAAAGGAACACAAAAAAATACTTATAGTTTATATGGCCTTGGGCTTTCAAAGCCCTTGTCTCCTTTCTTCCTGTTCATTCTGACGGGTTCTAAACCAGTTGGCGGCATGAAGAGCTCCCACCGAGCTTGGCTTCCCCGTTTCCCGAGGGGCTGCCGGGTATCACCAGCCTCCGGCACCTCCCACTCCCCGCTCCCCTACGCTCCCGACAGTCATGCCCCGCGGCCAGGGCTCCCTCGGCGCCCACACCCCGCCGCCGCCTCAAACTTGCTCCCGCGACTTGGCTCCTTTTAGCCGTCTCCGGCGAGCTTGTTACGAAGATGCTCCTCTCAACAACCGCTCAAAGCCACAGACTGCCGACATCTTGCCTGTCACCTCTGACCTCTGGCGTCAGCGGAAGTGGGACGGCGGCGAGGGCGGGAGCCGGAAGTTTTGTGTCAGTGGGTGGGGCTCGCGCGATAATATGAGGAGTTTTGCAGTTGCTTTTCCAGGCACAGGCAGTGGGAGACAACTGTTAAAATTTAAGAAATATATAATGGTTTGCGAAAAGCGGGGCGGGGAGTAGGTGGGGAGTCTTAGAACAGGGATACATGAAACCAGGAGAAGGGGGGGGGTCCTGCTGGTTTGCTGTGTGAAGGGACACCGTGAACTCATTGGGCCCCAGAGATTGAAGCTGTGGCACAAATAATTAGACCCCAGGTAGTCTAACTCAAACTTCAGAGTCCTCACTAGATAGTGCTGTCTCAGTATTTTTTTTTAAATAATTTTACATACATACAAAACATTTATTGAAAAGACAAATATTTTAGAAGCCATCAACATTTGCAGTTCATGTACAAGAGAATAGAACAGTTGTAAATTTCAGTAACAGTTAAATCTTGGTTAGGTAATTGTGGATTACCCATTAACATTTTTTTAACCTTGGATCAGATTTATCTTTGGCCTAAGCCCTCAAACTGTCCTGGTGACAAGTTTATTAGCTGAGTTAAAGTTAATTTGACCTTTGGTCTAAATGAATGCAAATCAGGAAAATAAAGCTATAAAAGAACTTTATCAAACATTCCAAAATCCATTAGACATTACTTGTAGTTTTCCAGTACTACCCGTGTCAGTTTTCTCCATTACAGGATTATAAATCACTCTATTAGTATTCTTCACCTAAGATTGAGTATCAAATCCATTTCATCTCAAAGTGCACATGGACATCAGCCAAGCAACACAGCAGCTATTACCAAGCCAATTTCATCAATGCAAATAACTAATTTAGGTAACAGAGAGGATCTAGTGACTCCCTGTCTTGGTGGAATGTTGAAAATAGAGAGGAAATCACTTGAGTAATGACATTTAAGTGAATAATTACTCTTCTAGGAAACTATTTCTATTTAGTCCTCTGAAAAAGCCTTTAAATTTGTTAATGATTAGAACGTCAAATCTTCATTAAAGGAATGCAACTTTACATATAAAAAAGGCAACACTTTTCTATAAATAAAACCACATAGACTCGAGATATACTAAATATAGGGAATAACTTTCTTTTGTCCTTTTTACACTGTATGCATAATGAAAAAATAACTTGAAAGATATAGAAATATCCTATTACATTTAAGGGAAAAAGAGCAGTAGTTTCAAAATGCTTAGGATTAGGAGAAAAATGTTTCAAAGTATGTTTTTTAAAATCTGGAATACAAATGTATGCAATAATCTTTTTCTTATAACCGTCAATTTTATGAAGCAACTTTAGTCCCAAAGAACAGACTGTTGTTCTTTTAAGAAATGGGTCTTCTTGAATTGTAAACTTTAACACCATTTTGTATTGAAGAGCGAGAATATTTAGTGAGTAATGCACCTATGGTTTGCTTCTCTCCACACAAATCTCTGTGGGAACAATAAAAAAAAAAAAATGAATTGCATGAATATGTTAGGGAACATAATATTCACAGTGCTAGTTATTTATATCTCTCTTGCCTAAATCCATCTTTCCAACAAGCATAAGGATGTGTGTTTGTGGAAGAGACAGGGTAGGGAGTGGTTACTAAGCCTTAATTGAACTAGCTACTTTACATGTATTACCTCATTTAACCACAGAAAGAGTAAAAGTAATGTATTATTTAACCCCACATTAGATATGGGGCTCAGGTAGTCATGGATGGAACCAAACTTTGCTGCCAAGTCTGCATGACTTCTAAGTCCAATTTTTTTTTTTCCATTATATCACACAGTCTCCAAATTAGAAATACAAGCCATGTGATATAGGAAGGTCTAGACACGGAGACCCTGGATCCTAGGCTACTTGTGTGTGCTTATTTATGTTACCCACTCTCCCTGAATTTTAGCTTCGTCTTGTATACCCCAAAGAGGAGAAGGACTATGACTGGAACAAAGGAGGTGAAGGAAGAATGACGGGACATGAGCTGGAGGGGGGAGCAAGGGCAAGGTCATACAGGGCCGTAAAGAACATGGAAAGAAGTTGTAATTTAATTCTAAGTATAAAGGGAAGTCACTAGGAGGGTTTTCATTAATGGAAAAGCAGAATGTGATCTAAGTTTTAAATAATGGAGGCAATGAGTTGATGATTATGGAAGCTAAGTGGTGAGTACATGGCGGGTTCATTATGTTTTATTGTCACTTTTGAATTTTTAAAATTTTCCAAAATAAAAAGTTTGAAAAGTGGGACAGGAGAAGAGGGGAAAAATATAAGTAGGGAGACCAATTCAGAGGCAGGTACTAGATGATCCATTAGGATTTGCTCATAGTTTGAACCAGGGAGCAAGAGAAGAAAAAGACAAGTATGATTCTCAGACTTTTTGCTTGAGTAACTGGATTAATGGTGGTGATGTTACAGAGAGAGGTGGAAGATGGGGTTAGGACAAGGTGGAACCACAGTTATGTTGTAGGCATGTCAGGTTTGAAATTCCTCTTAGCTATCCAAGTGGAAGTGTTCAATAGGCAGCTAGATAAGAGAAACTGGAACTCAGGGAAAAGATCAAATATGAAGATAAAATTAGGAAGTCATTAAGTTTAAATCCAGGTCTAAATGAGGGCACCAAGGGAAAAAAAATATAAATGAAAAAGCAGATGGTCAAGAATAGTCCTGGAGCACACCAACATTTAAAGATTGGAAAGAAAAGGGAGACATGAGGAAGAGACAGAAAAGGAGCTGCCTCGGGAGAGAAGGGACAAAAATGGTGTGTTTCAAGTAGAAAGTGGTCCACAGTGTCCAACAGTTCTAAGAGGCCAAGTAAACAAGGACAGACAGTTGACCACTGAAATGTAGACAGATGCCAACAGGTTAAGGAAAGAATTGGAGACAAAGAAGCAGAAAGGAGTACACAAACTTTCAAAAGGAATTTCTTGTGAAGGAGAGCAGAGGGTATGGGGTCTAGTAGGTTGTTGTTTTTTGAAATGAGCAATACTACAGTATACCATATATTGATGGGAATAATCCAGCAGGGAGGGAGACATCAATAACACAAGGGGGAAAATGATAACTAGAGGATGTATGTCTTTAATTAAAGGCCAGAGGGATGGATCCAGTGCAGGAGGAGGACTGGCCTTAGGAGCAGGGATGGTTCATGCATTATAGAGGAAGGCCTGCAAAGGGAGTATGTATGGACATAATACAAAGAGGCTGGCAGGTTTGGCGGTAGGAAAGAAGTTGTCCTTGTCTTTTCTCATCTGTTTCTATTTTCTCAAGAAACGAGGTCACAAGCTGAGGGTGAAGAGGAAAAAGGAGGTATTGATGCCTCAAAAAGCAAAAATATGAAAAGTGAGCTCCAAGGGTAGAAAAGTTTCATTAGGAAATGGTGCTTTGCCAAGGACCCAGCTAAGTACCACTCAAGCTCTTAAGTAGGACTGGCAAGTTCCAATGTGTCTTTTTCTCCAGGAAATTTGTCACCTGCCCACGTGTAGGCACAGAGTAAGCAGAAAAGTTGAGTTTTATCTTTGTGGATTTCTTTTTTTTGCCAGAGAGGTGTGACAAGGGGGAGAAAAGGCCACAGGAGCAAAGCATGCCCAGTAGAAGCTAAAGACCCTGAGCAGGAAATCCAAGCTGGGTAAAGGGAGGAGAGGACACGAGAAGCTAAGACACAGTTTAGAGGTGGCAGCATTAGTACATTTGAGGTCCTGTAAACAGTGACTAACGAGCTAGGTAGTTCTTCTGCAATCTGGCATCTACCAAAATGTTAAAGCGAGGCAGCAGGAAAGAGAGGAGGTATCCATCAGAGAGAGGGTTTGCTTTAGAGCCATAGTGGGGTATGCAGTCTGACTGGGCCTCAAAGAGCTGCAGTTTTGCAGGGAGGAGGGCAGAGAAGTGGTTTTAGAGGCAGCATGAGAAAGAAAGACAACACATTCCCCACCTCCAGGATCAGAAGTTGTAAAGAATGAAAGAGAAGACAGCCACCACTTGAAAAAGTTTCAAAGGAAGCCATGTCCTCAGGGAACACTCAAAAAAAAAAAAAAAAAAAAGAAGTGTCCTAATCATAAATCTTAAACCCCTATGCTAGAAAGAACTCTCAGAATCCACTTTAGTAAATTACTTACTGAATATATGGAGCAATGTCTTCTTCTGTCCACTTTTCCCTTAGAGAGAATAGGCTGTTAAAACGTTCTTGATTATCCTCAGGCAAATCATCTACTTTTAGCAAAAATATGATTTCTGGTCTTGAGTGTCTATCCACCAAGGCTAAACCCTATTTAAAAATGAAATGAAAGAGGGCAGTTAAAATAATGGTCTAGTGTCTAAATACGACTCATTCTTTAGGTTTGGCTGAGCCCAAGCCGCTTAAAATGTCAGCTATGTGAAATTTACACAAACTACCCAGAAACCCTCAAGAGCCTTTTTCATAAAAAGAGCTCCATTAAACAGTGAATTCTCCTTTTCCCTTCTACAATCTGGCTTCCGCTGCTCAATTTATCAGGTTAGCTCTAGTTCAAAGTCACCAATGACCTGTCATTGCCAAATCTAGTGGGCCCTTTTCTTGGATTTGCTAGCCCTGTTTTCTTTATTAATATTGCTTCCTCCCTCTTTCAATCTCCATCGCTGACATCACCGTCTCATTATTTTCCTCCTAACTCAATGTTGTAGTTCCTTGGGGTTCCTACCCTGATCCCTCGACCTGTCTCACTGTCACTGTCCTGAGTGGCTCAACTCACCTCAACTAAACCTAGGACTGCAAACGCTACTTACTCGCTAATGACAGTAACATAGGCATCTTCAACTCAAATTGCTCTTCCGAGAACGAGCACAAGAACTCTATACCCGAACCTATCTATGAACCCATTGTGTTTGTTACCCAAAACTGCTCTAGTCCCATTAGCCTAGGAAACCATGAAACCTGGGCATTATCCTCGATTCCATTATTCAAACCCCATACCTACATGGTCACTTAATCCTATCGATTTTAAGGCCTCAACATTTCCCTTATCCATTCTCCATCACCTATTTCTTTGGCCAGTACTTTCTCAGTTAGGAGTACATAACTATAGAGAGCCTGGAGATTTCTCCTTTTTCATAATCTAGCCAACCTTCCATCCAACCATCCTCAATGTCATAGTGTTCTTTCTAAAAGGCAGAATTCATCAGGTAGCTCTTCTGATGTCACTAAAAGGCCCCAGAGAGCTTTCTAAATAGGAATGAAATTCCTTAGCACAGACCATAGTGTCCCGCACTGACTCACCAGCACCTTTTACTCTAGTCCTGCATCCCTACTAATAGTGCCCCAATTTGTATCCCTACATGTCTCAGAACATGCTCTCCTGGGTCCTCATCTCTGGCCTTCCATCTAGAGAGTTCATAGTTCATCCTTTCAAACTCGGCAGCTCAAACAGCCATGCCTTCAGAAAATCATCCCCGATCGACCAGTCAGATGGATAAGTCCCTTTTCTTTGCTCCCATAACATCTTGTACGTGCCCTTCCCATGACACAGATCACTCTACATTATAAGAAAGGATTTATACATGTAATGTGCACCCCCATCTCCAGAGCTCAGGCTGAGGACCCTGACAGCACGTGGTTTTCTTCTCAGCATCTAGCGTGGTGCCTAGACATAAAAGGAACTCTAAATATCGAGCAAATCCTTTCACGCTGTAACAATACTCACTGAGCATACCCTACACGCCAGGCAGAATGCTGTACATTGGCAAGCAACAGTGAACAAAATTCTATCACAGTGGAGAGTGGGAAACCCACATAATTAAACATTTTCCCAGAGCTGAGTGGTCAGTGCCAGGAAGGAAAAATACAGGGTGCTCTGACAAAGTAAAACAGGAGGCATTTTTTTTTTTTAGAAAAAAGAAAAGTGTCCTTGAGGAAGTGACTCAAAGATGAATAGGAGGTGGCAAGGCGAAATTACAAAGAAGGTCATTCTAGAACAAAAAGCCTTGTGTGCAGGTCCTAAGGTAGGAGAGAGCTTGATGATCTTGAAAACCTGAAAGACGGCTGGTATGCAGTGAGCAGGAGAGGGGAGGAGGAGATGGAGCTACAAGGGAGATGAAGTGTTTTTCAGGCCAAGATACAAATCCTGGATTTTTTTTTTTTTTTAAGATTTTATTTATTTATTTGAGAGAGAGAGAGAGAACGCACTCGAGTGCACAAGCAGAGGGGAGGGGGGAGGGGAAGAGGAAGAGGGAGAAGCAGGCTCCCCGCTGAGCAGGGAGCCCAATGCAGGACTCGATCCCAGGACCCTGGGATCATGACCTGAGCCAAAGATAGACACTTAACCGACTGAGCCACCCAGGCGTCCTCCTGGATTTTCTATCTTAAATGCTATGGGCAACCATTAAATCATTAAGGATGATGTTCATCTAATCTGACTGGCATTTTTCAAAGGTCATTCTAGCAGCACTGCAGAGAATGGATCGGAGGTGGGCAAAATTAAAAGTACAGAGGGCCCGCTGAGGGACTCCATTGCTCTTTATAGCCAGACAAACATGACAGTGGACCATAACAGTGCTGGTGGAAACAGAAATGCAGCAGGTGGGAAGCAGGATTAACTGCACACGGGCCTGAGGGATCTCACTGAGGCGACAGAAACGTTCTAAAACTAGTGTCGGACTGAATGTACAGTCTGCTCCTAATGGAGATGGTGGCTAGGAAAATAAAGTGGCTCCAAGCTCAGTGGCAATACAGATTTCATGTCACCCAGTAACTAACGAGACCCTGTTGAGTTATGGTAGCAATCACCACTGCTAACCTTACCTTAAGCTGATCAAGCCTAGTTATCATTCCTTCGGGAACACTCTGTTGCCACACTTCTTGAAACTCAGCAAGGTTAAATTTCACTGCATTCTGAAGTAGCATCTGTGCTGCGGCTCTGCATATTTTATCAGCACTCAGTGCAAAATAAACTTCACCTAAGGAAGAGGAAGTTTCATATTGTCTTCTGACAATTCAATACACTACTACTGTATCCTTTTCCCCAACGCGATTTCTCAGAAAAAATTACACACAACCCACCTCCTGCAAACCCAGGCACGGGTTTCAGAAAGGCATACCAATCTTAACACAAACAAGTTAAATTACTTTCCAAGTCTTACCTTCCTCTACATATTTCTTTCCATAACATTTAAGACAGTGTGCAATCATTTCCCTGAAAAATTTAAAACACTCCTTTGAAAAGTTATCAGTACATTTTTATGCATATCTTAAACGCCATTGCTAACTAAAAACTTAAGATATATATTTTGAGATTTGAAATACTAAGTGATTTTGGTTGCCAAGTAAAATTTTACAGGAGGAACTAACTAAAACATACTGGAAGGCTATTACGTGCCAGGCCCATGCTAAACATTTTTTCATGAATTATGTAAGCATATATTATCACAAGATAACTTACGCATCATTATTTATTTTTTTTTAAAGACTTTATTTATTTATTTATTTGACAGAGAGAGAGGGAAAGCGAGAGCAGGAACACAAGCAGGGGGATGGGAGAGGGAGAAGCAGGCTTCCCACCGAGCAGGGAGCCTGATGTGGGACTCGATCCTAGCACCCTGGGATCATGACCCGAGCCAAAAGCAGACGCTTAACGACTGAGCCACCCAGGCACCATTCTTTATATTTTTTAAGGTAGGAAAAAAAGGATGATGCACATTTATTCAGTCCAGTGACCAAAACTCCTAAGTCCTTCCTGGTTCTACGATTTTTTAAATTTCTGTAAGACATCAAAACATAGTCTACTCCCTATATTTATTTGCACCCTGGGAAATAATTTTCTTCCCTTTAAGGAAGTTTGGCAAGACAGTAATTAAAATACTTACTCTGGCTCCAATGGTCCAAGTTCCTGAAGGCAAGTATTCAAAGGAACTTTATCAAAAGACCAAGATTCAGAATCCACAAGCTGAGTTACGTGATTCAGAAGTTTCATCTCATAATCAAAATCAAGAATCCTCCAATAACCTACAAATTCCCAAAGTAATAGTAACAAAGGACATTGTAAGCAAATTAATTGGCTAATAGATTGATAAAGAAGCAGTGTGCTCTTGCCCAGGACAAAAAAGAGACACTAGAAGTCTTCTTACCTTTCTTTATAAGCAAGGCTTCTTTTTACGCTTTTCTCCTAATCAGTACGAATTGTGTCTGGAGAGAAACCCTAGTGGTTTTTAAAAAGTACCTTACATATGACTCATTTTCTTCAAGTCCTTTAATAATGATTTCAGAATAATCTTGCCAATCTAAATGGAAATGCAGAAACCTGTAGCTGGTTCAGTGATTTCAAGAGAACATTGTACAAATGAGGTGAAGGTCGTAGGTTGGATATCCCACATGTGATCTCCACTCTGGGGCACTGGCATGGTTATAACTCTCATCTAGTTGTCTTGCAGAGGTGTTCTTGGGCGCATAAAGAAGCCTAGGTCACTCAAGAGTCAACAGACTCAGAGGTATGATATGAACCAGTAGAGTAGCAAGATAAAGCCTGGACATCAAGATACCTTTCCCTATTCTTGTGAAAGATCACAAAATGCCAACTGATCATTGAAGGCACTACCACCACCCCTGGAGAAACAAATCAAGTACAAATCCAACATTTCCAAGGGAGAATGTTACTATTGCTATTCTGAAAAAATAAAGGCAACATTAGAAAAGGGAGTGTGTGATGTCAATCCGAGAAAATGACAGGAATAATCTATGTACCCCTCAACACAGACCAAAATTTTATCCATCCCCAGGCAAGAAGTGAAAAATGCAGAAAGTTACATTAAAATCCACTGGTTTCTAACCTCAACATTCATGGTACCCATATACTGTAGCAATTAACAGCAGGCAACCATAATATAAAACTTTATTAAAATTTTATTTCCAAAAAGCCCTGTAAGGAGTGGTTGGAGTCACTGGTCACAGGTGGACCTCTTCATGTAAACATCACATGTAGTCTCTACCCCACATCCAAAAACATAAATATTATCAGCTTTAAGCCCAAAATTAGATTAAATAGATAATATGCAATGGGATGAAGAGGTCCATAAATTTCTTTCTCACATGATGCTGGTGGAAACAGAAAAATCCATCATTATTAATAATTATGATAAGTAATGCTACCTTCAATCTCACAGGCATTTAGAACTTGTAACTGGGCCATTATTTCTTCCTCGCTTGCCTGAATTTGATCAAGCAAATCTTCAGTTGTATACTGAAACAAGGAAAAAAGAAAAAAAAAACCATTCTAAGTCCTTTGAAGAATATTTTTTTAGACTTATTGAATTTGGGAGAATAGATACATACAACAGATTAAGGCAATATTTACACTATAATTCAATTTCTTCTGATAACGTGTAATGATTACTAATGAAATCTAAGAAGAAAATATAGGGGTAAATCTTTGTGATGTCGAATTTAGCCACAGTTTCATAGATAGTATGCCAAAAACACAAGCAGCAAAAGAAAACAGATAAATTGGATTTTATCAAAATGAAAAACTTTTGTACTTCATCAAAATACCATCAGTGCAAAAGGACAAATATTGTATAATTCCACTTGTATGGGATATTTAGAATAGTCAAATTCAGAGATGAAAAGTAGAATGAATAGTGATTGTCAGAGGATGGGAGCAGGGGAGACTGGGGAGTTGTGTTAAATGGGTATATAGTTTCGTCTTGGGGAAGATGAAAGGTTTCTATGGATGCATGGTGGTCATGGTTGCATAATAGTGTGGATGTACTTAATGCCACAGAACTATACACACAAAAATGGTTAAAATGGTGAATTTTATGTTATGTATATTTATCACAATTTTTTTTAATCAAGAAAGTAAAAACACAACCCACAAAATGGGAGAAAATAGAAGCATATTATATATCTGATAAGGAACTTGTATTTAAACTATATAAAGAATGCTCCTACAACTCAGTAATAAAGTGACAACCGAATAATTGGACAAAGGAGTTCCTGGATCGACAATTTTCAATGAAATATAAATAGTCAAGAAGCACATAAAAAGATGCTTAACATCATCAGTCATCAGGGAAATGCACAAGAAAACCACGATGATACCACTTCAAATCCACTGGTATTGATATAAAAAAAGACAAATAATAACAAGTGTTGTCAGGGAGGTGGAGATATTGGAGTCCTCATACAATGGGAATGTAAAATGGCGCAGCCACTTTGGAAACAGTCTGGCAGTTCCTCAAAAAGTTATAAAGAGTTACCATATGACCCATCAATTCCACTCTTATTATGTACATACCCAAAAGAAATTAAAACACAGGTCCACTAGAAACTTGTACATGAATTTTCACAGCAGTGTCCTTCATAATAATCAAAATATGGAAAGTTATCCATGTCTCTCAACTGATGAATGAATAAATAAAATATGGTATATCCATAAAATGGGAGTATTTTTAGCAATAAAGAGAAATAAACTACTGATATATGCTACAACATGAATGAACCTTGAAAAACATCATGACAAGTCAAAAAAGCCAGTGAGAAAAAGTCACATATCATATGATTCTATTCATATGAAATACCCAGAAAGGGCAAATCAAGAGCAAATCAAGAGATTGAAAGTAGATTAGTAGTTGCCTAGGGCTGAGTGGGAGAGGGAAGCAGGGAAAGGTAAGATTAGAAGGTAACAGTTAAAATTAGAAGGTACAGGGGCACCTGGGTGGCTCAGTCGTTAAGTGTCTGCCTTTGGCTCAGGTCATGATCCCAGGGTCCTGGGATCGAGCCCCGCATCGGGCTCCCTGCTCAGCGGGAAGCCTGCTTCTCCCTCTCCCACTCCCCCTGCTTGTGTTCCCTTTCTCGCTGTCTCTCTGTCAAATAAATAAAAATCTTTAAATAAATAAATAAATAAATAAATAAATAAATAAAATTAGAAGGTACAGGGTTTCCTTGGGTTGATGAAAATATTCTGAACATCATCGTGGTGACTGACCACACAACTCTGTGAATGTCCTAAAACCACTGAATTAAAGTCACTTTAAAATGAGTGAACTGTCTGGTATACAAAATTGTATCTCAATAAAGTGGTTACCAGAAAAAGAAAAAGAAAAAAAGAAGAAAATCAATCAGTCAATGGAGAAAAAGAGAACATAAATATGGTCTTCAGAATGCCCATGCAGGTCTCTAATTTCAAACTACATTAAAAACTGGAGAATTTTTTTTACTTGGCTTGTAAATAGTTTTCCATACTTTCAGGAATCAGTTAATTTTCACATGAGAATAAGAATACTTTCTACTTCCATAAAATCTTTTTTGAAGAGCCTCTAATTATAATTTTTAATTAAATAAAAATTAATTTATCTTCTAAAAAACGTATTCCATAGTTAGGAACCTGTGAAGCTTTCAGCTATGTAAATGACACCATGATATCTATTATTTGCTTTAAAGTACTCCTGAAAAAGAAGGAAAAAAAAAAAGTGGGAAGCAGCGGGGGGACAGAAGCAACGACACTGACAAAATATTGATAAATGTTCAAATGGGTGATGAATATATGGGGGTCTTTCTGCTTTGGGGTATATTTGAAATTTTCATAATATAAATATAAACACTAAAAGTAAGAATGTCACCATCAGTGCCTCTAATTATAGTTCTATTTTTTAAGTTTCAAATGAAAATAAGTCTTACTTTTGAATGATTTGAATCCTTTTCTTTTTGACTGTCGGGTCCTTCATAGGTATTTTCCATCAAAAGTTTCTTTAGCTTCTTTAATTTAGGTCTGCATCTTCTTAATTCCCAATAATTATTAGAAAAACCAAAGATCTAGAAAATATAAAGATATAACCTTTCAGGGGCCATTCTAAAAGAAAATTTCATACAAAATTTCAACCAACTCATCCACTCTCAATAAGAAGAGAGCCAGGTAATCTGCTTTCTATTGAGAAGGCACCCTCCAGCCATCTCAAGCAAATGGATGGGTATCTTCAGGAAGATCTTTTCAAACCCCAATTAAGAAGACACTGCCAACACAGTGAGAACCAGTCATTGAGCTCAGTATCTCAAGTGTACTATGGAAACTAGGGTATGCCCAGAAAAAGAATGATCAGGATGGTGACTATTCTGCAAATCTGAGGGAAACAATAGAAAATGAATACTTTTAGGCTGGAAAACAAAAAATAAAGAAGATACATGATCACAGTCTTCAAATAACGAAAGGATGTTAAAGGAGAGAGGGAGTATCCTTGTTCTACGTTGCTTATGGTGTCAAAATCTAGCAGAAAGTTAAGGAAGAAATATTTCTTTTCAGTGCAAGAACTTCCTACTATCTAGAGTTGCAGCTAATTCCCTATTGTGAAACAGTGAGAGGCTCATCACTCAAAGCAATCCAGCTGACAGTGGCTACTTGATGGGTGAGTATCTGTTACCCCTCCCTACCTCTGGGACTTGCCAGTATCTAGCACTTGGTAGGTACCCAGTAAGTGGTTCACATAAATAAGGAAAAAAGGCTGAACTGGATTATATGCGGGGTGCCTTCCAACTCTAAAATGCAAGGTCAGGGGATGCTTCTACTTTCAAACTAATACAAGGCTTGATTGATTAGACAAGGCCCAGCCAAACCTGATGGTAATGTTGTTGAACCCGAGGATTCCAAAAGAGGAGCTTAAGGACCAAACCAAAAAGATCAATTTCATCCACAGTTCACAAACTGACAGGCTGCTGGCTATATCCAAAGCACAGATGCTGGTGTGTGCTTTGTGTTGTGCGGAAGGGATAGTTAGTATAGAGTTGAAACTAGCTGCTGACATGGAAATATCAGATATTTTGTCCCAAGATCTAAATGTCAAGGTTTACCTGAAAACAAGTCAGAAGATTTGGCAGCTCTGGGCCTGCTTTCCCACAAGGCCAAGCTGTGGCCGCCCACCTACATGGGACTTGTTTTCTTCAATTTGCCACAGACCCCACCATTCTCTATTGTTGCAGAGACTGGTAAACACTACCATTTTATCAGCAGCAGCCTGCTTGGCCCACGTGCATTCCTCACCTAGCCCTTCTAGGCATCTGAAGTGCAACCACAGATTAAACCTTTAGTTGGTAGATCTTTGGGGCGCTCCAGTCAGTTAAGTGTCTGCCTTTGGCTCAGGTCATGATCCCGGGGTCCTGGGATCTAGCCCTGCAATGGGCTCCCTGCTCACTGCAAAGTCTGCTTCTCCCCCTCCCTTTGTCCCTCCCCCCACTCCACTTGTGCTTTCTCTCTCAAATAAATAAAATCTTAAAAAAAAAAAAAAACTTTAGTTGGTAGATCTGTTACACTGTACCCAGTCTCAGTGCACAGAATTTCCATAACAAGAGCTCAGAGGTACTCCCATATTGTTATACCCCCCGCAAAAAATACCTATAAAACAGGTACACAATGAAAAAGTAACATCTTTTACAAAAGGCTGAACTGCCCATATTTCTAGTTAATTACAATTGAACCAAAATAGAAAATTTACTGGAAGTTATTCTGTTCTAGCAACATCATGGGTCACTGACATTTCCCAGTATTTTCCCTTATTTTTATTCCAATTCTAAGGCAGTAGTTGGCCTAAAGTCATTCCGAGAGAATTAAGGGCTGTGTTTTGATCATGACGTGTGTAATAATCTAGCCAGGATGGAGACTGCTATTTCGTATCTGTAAGCAGTAGTATCCATAATAATTCAGAATTTATTATGCATGGCTAGAGGCAATAATGAGTTAAACTGAAGTAAGAAACACACCTGCCTCAAAAATTCAAATTTCTTCATTTCTCCACCTCATAACCATTACTTAAGGCATTAGTTGTGGTTTGAGGGAGTCTCCTTTCAAAACATATCTACAGTAAGACTTACTAAAAATAGGTAAAACTTTTAGAATACATCACCTAATAACAAACTTTCCATGTTGCAGAAAATGGTCATCTTGTCTAGGACTTAAAAATCAAATAGGGAAAATAAGCCAACTTCACAAGACTCCAAACAAACAATGCTGAAAATTTTTAAATTTCATTAGAGAACTTTTCAGATCCCCTGTGATTATACATTTCACAACTAAAGATTTTTTAAAAGATTTATTTTATTTATTATTTTAGAGGGGGGGAGGGGCAGAAGGGAGAGGGAGCGAATCTCAAGCAGACTCCCCTGCTGAGCACAGAGCCAAACTCAAGGCCCATCTCAGGGCCCTGAGATTATGCCTGAGCCCAAAGCCAAGAGTCAGGTGCTTAAGTGACTGAGCCACCCAGGTGCCCCCATACTTAAAGATTTTATTTTATTTTATTTTTAATGTTAAATTTATTTTTTGTTATGTTAATCACCATACATTACAGCATTATTAAAGGCAATATTAGCACATGGGTTGTGATTCTCATATAAATTAGAAGGCAGAGAACAGTACCTCAGTGTGAGTAATGTTACAATGTGTTTCCTCCATCTTCAGCTGGTCCGGAGTTTTACAATCAGGAATAAAAAGCAACATATTGGAAGTGTCTGCTGTTCTCAAGTCATACGTTTTGTCTTTACTGCACAGCACAGCCTGCTCATCTTTATCACCCCGAATCACAAGACTGCAGGAAAATGGGAAAAGAAAATACATGGTTTAGAGACACCAATGGACATCTTCATTATAAACAGTTCCAAAATCCTCTAGGCTTGTAGAATTTAAAATTAAGTCTTGAGGCTGTGTCTGGCCCCTGTTTTCATCACCCTCGAGCACACGTTGGGCTCACAAAGCAAGGGCGGGTCCTGTTGAGAGACAGAGGGGCACCAGGTGGTCTCACCAAGGAACAATAATTCAACATGAGTAAGAAAGATCCAAAAAGGCCAAGAGGCCAACAATCACCATGTGGCATCTTCATGCAAACTGCTTGGAAGAGCACAAGACAAACCATCCAGTAGCTTCGGTCAAGATGTCAATTTCCTAAACCATGTTAAAGCAATACTTCTCAAACCTATGCATAGGAATCTTATTAAAAAACTGAATCCCAATCTGCAGGTCTGGGATGGGACCCAGGATTCTGCATTTCTAACAGGCTCCCAGATGATCATCCTGCTGTTGGTCCTGGTCCCCAACTAAGAGTGGGTCTTCTTGTTTTGTTCTGAATATCCCCTAACAATCAAAGAAGCACATCCTAGCCTACCCATCAGCTCTGTTGCAAAGAAATTGGGACTTTATAAAGAGAACTGCAATGCTGAATGAAAATATATGAAAAATATGTTTTCACAAACTGCAGTAAATAAGTTCTGACAAAGGCTCACCAGCGGAAAAGAGCAAGAGGGGAAGAACATAAGGAAGAAGACTAAAGACAGATGATGGGATTGACAAGGGCATAGACTCTAGCGGTTTGGTCTGTAGAACGTTCAACTCTCCTGTACACTATTCACTTCTTTTAAAGAAATAAAAATAAAACCTGAAACAGAAGAATGTGTAAATGCTTTTTAAAATTAAGACTTAGTTTAAGTGAAAAGTGTTGTTGTTTTTAGTTTCCTTGTGCTAATAACACTTAACAGTCCCAAGTACCCACTCTTCAATATTTATTTCCACATTGCACTATCCATGCTTCATTATTTTGTTTAAACCCGTCCCCTGGCAAAAATGTTTTTAAAACACACATATCTAGGTCCTTCTGGATTGCCAGGTGGATGAATAGTAACTGGATAAAAACAAAGTCCGCACACCTGAAGTCCTTTCTTAAACTCCGCGCTCCCCCCCAACTCAGCTGGAATGAAAACCAATGAATGAGGCTCCCCTCGGGCTTCCTTAAAGATCCTTTGTGGCTAGCATCTGCAGAGGGCCAGTTAATTATAACAGTGTCAGACGAGTAAATATGAAAACTGAAAGCCTGAAGAGTTCAATTTAAAGAAATCTACAAGAGAACAAACTACCTAATAAAATAAAGGTGTTGGATGGAGGAAGGGCGGTGCAGAAGAGAAGCATACCAGAGCCCCTAACTCCTATTTCCAGAAGCTGGGAGTGCACAGTTTAATGATTCTCTAGACTTCTCCTCTTATGTTTTTTAATCCAGGGTTTTGCAGCAAATGTGTAGCTGACCCAAAATTAGAAACAGCTTCAGATTTCCATTAAATGACCCCACGCCGAGTCTGTGTTTTGAGGGCCTCCCACAATGACCAACTCTGTGGAACGGCTTTCAACTTATTCCCTACAGTCCGACCTACTTATGGAATATAAGTAGAAGGCAAGGAGAACTGTATAAATATTAGATAGTAGCACTGGATTTTAAGCTAGAATGGCGGAAGTGTTCAGTGCAGTTCCTGGCATCCCGGTTAAGGTCTCCAAAATGTCACTGAGGTTATCTTTCCTGCTTTGTTTCCGCGGACGCAGGCCTCCCCCAGATCAGCTGGACCTGTCCTCTGTATGACCTCAGTCCCGCTAAGGGGGCGGACCAGCAGTGGCGTAGACTCCTCGGGGGGAAAAAAAGCAGCGCGCTGGAAAGGAGGCCTCCCGGCAGCTGCGAACCCTGCGCTGAAATCAAGGCGCGTTTCCGGCCCAGTCTCCCCGCGGGGCAATCACCTGTGCCCGGCCTCCAGCTGCTGGCACAGCGCGGGCTCCAGCTCCAGCAGGCAGAAGTCGCCGGCAGCGGCGCCGGCCCCGGGGCCGAAGCCCAGGCAGTGCACCACCGGCAGCAGCTCGGCCGCATTCAGCTTGGCGATCTGGAGCGTCGCGTCCACCTCCGCGCGGGTCCGCCTCATCGCTGCGCCGGGAGAGGGGGGGCCCGCAGGGCTAATGAGAGAGAACTGAGCTCGGCGAGCAACCCGGACCCTGCGAGAAGTACAAGAGAAAGGGAAGAGACTTTCAAAAGCGCGCCAAGGCGGCGGGGGGCATGTTTCCGGGGCGGGGCGTCCGCGGGAGCGTCCAAAGGTCCTCGCAGCGGTGCCCCGCGGCGGCGGCCGCTCACCCCACGCACGGCCCCGGCTGCTGGAGTAAAGCCACGCTTCTGCGGGGCGATCTCGGCCGGACCTCGTGGGAGCTGCGCTGCCACCCCGCCGGGCGCCACGCGGAACTCTCGCCCACCCCTTCCGCTGCCCCACCTCTGGTTTCCCGCCGGCGCCCCCCTTTCGTCGCCATCAAAATGGTCTCATTCTCCGCCAGGGGCGGGCCTTATGCTAAGTACTCTGCGTGCATCAAGTTATAAATCCTTCACCACAGCCCTTTAAGGTGGTCCCCGTTCCTCCCATTTTGCAAAGGAGGCGAGCTCCTGGCCCAGGGTGGCACGGCAGGGGTTAGTAAAGTCTGATTCCAGCCCACACTAATGTGGCTCTAAAAACAAGCCACCGGGTTTTATGCAAACACTCTGGATTGGGAGTGAGGCCCTGGTGGAATTGGACAGGGAATCTCACTTCTTTGGGTCTGGGGACCATCATATCTAGGAGACAATGGCTTGGACTAGATCCATCCATTCATTGAGTACCCAGTCTGAGCTGGGTGTCAGGAGAGGGGCCAAGTCCCCTGTCCAGAGCCTGCAGTCTCCTGGGAAGACACAGACTCGCCACTGCAGGATGTGTAAGCTGTTCACTCAGCTTTCTCTGTGGTGTCTTCCAGACCAAATTTTACAAAGAATACGACGTTTTAAGAGAAAAGCTTATCCATATAAGCACACGCATTAATAGCTTGTAAGAGCGTAATGTGAACTCTCCCAGGGATCCTGCAGCCTCCGTTTGGGACATTTGCTGCCCCTGAGAGCTGAGGCACCCTGAGAGGAATGTTCGACTAGTAATGTAAATCAGACCTTGGTTAAAGTGAAAGAAGGAGGTGGGTGGGTGGGAAGGTGAGTGAGGGGTTGAATTCAAGGGAAATGAGCAGGCATTTTCTTTCAACTTCTGGGTGAAATTATATGCAACTACCAAGTAGGGCATCCCAGGGGTACGGGTGGTGCTTTAGCTGGTGGTAGAAAGGTTGTTTCCTTTTTTTCTTTTTTTAAGATTTTATTTATTTATATGAGAGAGAGACACCGCGAGAGAGGGAACACAAGCAGGGGGAGGTGGGAGAGGGAGAAGCAGGCCTCCCGCCGAGCAGGGAGCCTGATGTGGGCGGGGCTCCATCCCAGGACCCTTGTACCATGACCAGAGCCGAAGGCATACACTCAACGACTGAGCAACCCAGGCGCCCCGAGAGGTTGGTTCTTATGGTCTACTTCTTCATCAACCTTTTTTAATACACCTGAATGCAAGGACTATGATGGAGAAAAATGTTGACTATGTAGGCGATTGCATGATAAGAAATTTATGAATTGGAAGAGAATCAACCATGGCAGGTGCACTATTACCTGGAAGCAGCTTAGTGTATGAAGAATGCTGGCATTTACGTCAGAGGCGCCTAGGCTTGGAATCTGAACTCTGCTCTCACTAGTTTTGTGACCTAGAGCAGTTTACTTCATTTCTCTCATTCCAACTTCCTTATCTGTAAAAGAAGATAATAATACCTACATTCTAAAATGCATGGAAAGCAAAGGATATTTTTTAAATGGCAGCTTTTTGTTATTGGTATTTATTATGTTATTTATTTTTAAATAATACTAATAATATCCAGTTTTGCTATTCTGACAGGGAGCTGGACCTTGGTTCCTCTCTTAAAATGGAATGATAGTCTATATAAATTCATTTTTTAAAGCATGTTAATAGATACATTTCTCTAAAGTAAAAAAAATTACACATTTTTCTTAATTTTGAGGCTTGTTTAATCATTCACCTGATAACAAGGAAAAAAAATTCTTTTATTAGGTAAACGAACAGCTACAGAAAAACTTCAAAAGAGCCAACCACGTAAAATTGATAGTTTCCGTGGACACTGGAAACTTGATTATAGTGTTCATGTATTTTGTTTCATAGTGTGAAATGGGAATTTTATTTAGTAAATCATAGTTCATAAATAAAAATTACGTATTAATACTTTTTTGTTTCCTCTCTGTTTTCATTATTTTTTAAAATTTTCTTTTACTTTATTTTATTTACATTTTAAAGATTTTATTTAGGGACACCTGGGAGGCTCACTAAGTTAAGCGTCTGCCTTCCGCTCAGGTCATGATTCCAGGGCCCTGGGATTGAGTCCCTCGTCCAGGCTCCTTGCTCAGCCGGGAGCCTGCTTCTCCCTCTGCCCCTCCCCCTGCTCATGCTCTCTCTTTCTCTCTGACAAATAAATAAAATCTTAAAAAAAAAAAAGATTTTGTTTCTTCATTTGACTTTTTTTCTTTTTTTAAGATTTTATTTATTTATATGAGAGAGAGACACCGCGAGAGAGGGAACACAAGCAGGGGGAGTGGGAGAGGGAGAAGCAGGCTTCCCCCCCCCGCCGAGCAGGGAGCCCGATGCGGGACTCGATCCCAGGATTCTGGAACCATGACCTGAGCCGAAGGCAGACATTTAACCAACTGAGCCACCCAGGTGCCCCTCATTATTTTTTTAATTTAATGAGCACGGTGGCTTCCAGGCATTCCAAAAACTTAAAATGTTTCATAACCATGACCTTGGTTTGGGCTCTCATTTCTATTACTGTGGCCTCCTAAGGTCTAGGTTTTCCTACCATCCATCCCCCTTCCCACTGCCCAGGTATCTCCACACCACAGTCAGTAAATTTTCTAAACATTAGGTTCTCTAATAGCATTACCCTCTGCTCACAGATCATCAACATCTCCCTTACCCTTGAAAAAAAAGCTCATACTCCTGCTGGCTTCCAAGGCTTTTCATGCTGGGTCCATCTTGCTTTTCCAGACTCTACACCCCCAAGTGCTTTTCATGTACACTACAGTCTAACCTACAGATGCCCCTGTCCTCCCCTAGTTTCATGTTTGTGGGTGTTGTGTGTGTATTTTTTTTTTAATTTCAGTCATAATTTTAAAATTAGTAGAGTTTCGGGCGCCTGGGTGGCTCAGTTGGTTAAGCGACTGCCTTCGGCTCAGGTCACGATCCTGGAGTCCCGGGATCGAGTCCCGCATCGGGCTCCCTGCTCGGCGGGGAGTCTGCTTCTCCCTCTGACCCTCCCCCCTCTCGTGCTCTCTCTCTCTTTCTCTCTCTCAAATAAATAAATAAAATCTTTAAAAAAAAATAAAATAAAATTAGTAGAGTTTCCACTAACAATGTGATTTTTCTTTTTAAAAAATCAGGATATCTGGCAACATGGGACTCATTCCATAGCAACAGTGAGCTAAAGCTCATGGTTTCTGCAGAGTTCTCTCCAGGCCCGTGCTGGGCCCTCTCAGTCTGGAAATTCATATTCTTCCTTTCTGGAAAATGTTCTTACATGATTTTCTTGACAACGTCCCCTCCCCGTGCCCCCCACATTTTTTGTTCTATACCTCTGAAGCCTATTAGTTGGACTTTCTTATATATACGTGAAGATATCAATAATAGATATTTGGCTTTAGAAAGATGGTTCAGGTAGCAGTTTGGAGGATAGTTTAGGAACCGAGGCTTGAACCGGCAAGAGCAGACAGAAAATTTAAATAGACAAGGGCAGAACTAATTGGTAAGAACTTGAACTGAAGGAAAAAGAGAAGGAGAAATAACAAATACTCATAAAGTAGAATGGGGGTCCTCGTGGACACTGAGGACTGTGAGAAAGGGGGAGAGGAATTGAGAAAGACTCTCAGAAGTAGAAACTTTTAGTTCCCTAAAAGAAGGGAGAGTGCACAGGGACATCATTGGATTATTTGAAGCAGGGGAGTCGCTTGATCAGATTTAGATTTTTGAAAGATCACTTACGAAAACGTGTCAATTTGATCTGAGAAACGGGATATTTACATAGTTGTAAAGTACCTAAAAAAAAACTTATTAGTTACCAAAAAAAAAATAGTCACTTCACAATGGTAAACTTGGGGCATGTTGGGGGAGGTCATTGAGAAGACACGACCGTCATTGCACCCTCCAGCTGGACTGGAGCCTCCTCACCCCTCCCTTGTCCTTGGTATGTAAGTTCGGCCCACCGTTCCCACAGCAGGAGCTGTTCCAAGGACGTAGCCTTGAGACAGTAAGGTGTTGAAACCATCTGGGTGGTATATGTAACTGAACCTAGTTAAGGCCTCTGTATAATAAACTTTTAAGATTCTGGTGTGCGGGTGCAGATATTTCTCTGTCTTGCTGCTGCCCAAGACAAACCTCATAATAAAGTTCCCTTCCTTATTAAAAACTGCCACCTACCAACCTGGAGTGGTCTGCCTCTTTTTTTGGTCTCGCCTTGCCCTCCATGGACGGGGGGCCAGTGTGCAAACCAACAGAACATATTACCTCAATGAAGTGACCAAGGTGAACGTCACCAATATTGGGATGAACATCATGTGCCTTCTGATATGATATACTGAGCTAATCCTGCCAAAAATGCATAACCTGAATCTAAATGTAAGGAAAACCTCAGGCAACTCAAGTTGAGGGACATTCTATAAAAACAAACAAAAAACAAAAACCAAACCAAACCAAAACAGAAACCTGGCCTATACCCCTCAAAAATTGCAGGGTCGTGAAGGACAAGAAAAACTGAGGAACTCTCTGAGATTATAAGAAAGTAAAGAGACATGATAATTAAATACAATATGAAATCCTAGGTTAGATCCTAGACTAGGAAAAATTACTGCTATAAAATACGTTGTTGAGGTAAGTAATGAAACCTGAATATGGACTAGGGATTAGAGAAGAGTTTCTTTTTTAATCAACATTAAATCTCCTGCTTTTGGTAATTGGGATGCGGTTATATAACAGAATGTCTGTTT